ACCAGGCTGAGGGCAAGAGCGAGACCCCGTCTCTACGTATCAAATAGAAAGAAATTAATTGGCACAACTGATTATATATAAAATTAGCCGGGCGCATGGTGGCAACATGCCTTTGTAGTCCCACTACCCGGAGGCTGAGGCAGAGGATTCACTCGAGCCCAGGAGTTTGAGGTTGCTGTGAGCTAGGCTGACGCCACGGCACTCACTCTAGCCTGGGCAACAAAGCGAGACTCTGTCTCCGGAACAAAAAAAAAAAAAAAAGAAAAAAATTTTGAACTCCTGACCTTGAGCAATCCGCCCGCCTCGGCCTCCCAAGAGCTAGGATTACAGGCGTGAGCCACAGCGCCCGGCCTATTTTTCCTTTAATTACTTGTTCTTCTTTGATGGTTTTTGAGTTGTCTTTTATTGACATGTAAAATTTTTTAAATGTATTCTGAATTCTTTGGCATATGAATTGCAAACAATGTATTCAAATATTTCATGTCTTTTTTAGTAGCTTTTTTGAGGTATAATTGACAAGTAATATACAATATGTATTTAAAGTATATAGTTTGATAAATGTTACATGTATATACCCATGAAACTGTCACCAGAATCAAAATAATAAACGTCATTATTCTCAAAATTTTTTAATACCTCTTGCTAATCCCTTCCATCCGCCCTTTGCACCCTTTATCTCCTATTAACCATTGATCTGCTTTCTGTCATTATAGATTAGTTAGATTAGTTTGGATTTTCTAGAGTTTTGTATACATGAAATCAAATAATATGTTCTCTCTTTTTTTGGTCTATCTTCTTTCACTTAACATACTTATTTTGAGATTCAGTCACATTATTGCATGTATCAAATTTTTACCCCTCTTTTGCTGGTAGTCTTCCATTGTATGAATAATATACCCACAATTGTTTATCTATTCACCTGTTGATGGACATTTGGTTTGTTTCCAAATTTTGGCAACCAAAAATAAAGCTACCATGAACATTCCTTTAATTTGTCTTTTAATTTTAAAGTATATTGTATCATACAAAAAAATTTTCATTTTTTTATAGTCAAATGTATCAGTTTTTTCCTACTGGAATTGGAGTTTGGTTAGGCTGCACTCCCTACCCCCTCATGTTAATAAAATTCTCTTCTATTTGTTCTAATACTTCTGTAGTTTATTTTTCTTTTTGATCTTTGGCCCACCTGGAATTCATTTGTGTATATAATAATAGGTAGGGATCAAACTCTTGTTTTTTTCCAAATGGATTGCCTGTTGTCCCAACAGTATTCTTACCCCTGGTTATTTGACATATCACCTTGATAATGATCCAAATTTCCAAAATTCTATAGGTCTTATTTCTAAATTCTGTTTATTGAAAGCTTTGTCTATTTTTACATCAGTATTATACTTATATCAATATTAGTTATTAATATTTTGTTAAGAGAATCCTTTCTCATTCTTTCCAAAAAAAATTTTTTTTTTTTTTTTTTGAGACAGAGTCTCAATCTGTTGCCCGGGCTAGAGTGCCATGATGTCAGCCTAGCTCACAGCAACCTCAAACTCCTGGGCTCAAGCGATCTTGCTGCCTCAGCCTCCTGAGTACCTGGATTACAGGCATGCACCACCATGCCTGGTTAATTTTTTATATATATATATACACACGCATATATATGTATATAATATTTATAAATAAATATATATATATATATATTTAGTTGTCCAGCTAATTTCTTTCTATTTTCTTTAGCAGAGATGGGTCTTGCTCTTACTCAGGCTGATCTCAAACTCCTGAACTCAAATGATCCGCCCACCTCGGCCAAAAATTTTTTTCATACATTTTTCCTCCAGATGCCTGTGTATTCAGCTTGCCAAATTTGTTAAAATTTCTCTTGGGATATTAAATGGCCTCGAGAGCTGGGACTACAGGCATGTGCCACCATGCCGGCTAATATTATATGTTGGCCAGTTAATTTCTTTCATTTATAGTAGAGACGGGGTCTCGCTCTTGCTCAGGCTGGTTCAATCCTGACTCAAGCAATCGCCCGCCCTCAGCTCCCAGAGTGCTGGATTACAGGCGTGAGCCACCGTGCGGCAAGAAATTTAATTACAGTAGAATAACATCCAGCAATTTTAATGTTATT